GGCACGGCGGCCGCGGCGCCGCCGCCCACGGGAGAGACACCCGCACCCCCCCGAAGGCCACAAGCGGCAGGCCCCAAAGGGGCCCAGGCCAGGCACCAGGCCTGGCCCCAGGAGCCAACAGGCCCCCCGCAACGGGAGCGACGAACCCAGAGGGTGCGCCCTGCATGTCCTGCGGCATCGCTCCGCACTGCTCTGCGCCGTACCATGCCATCCTCGCGGAGCTCCAGGTCGCTTCTGGCCCGTGGTCGCCCGTCCAGGGCGAGACACGCCATTCCCTCCCCAGGGACGGGAGAGAAGGGCCGCACCCGCCATGGAGCCACCGGGCCCCCCCCCGAAGCGCCAGAGGCCAAGGGGGGGGGGGAAAGGGTGGCCCCCCCCGCCTCTCACGACGACGGCCCACAGCAGCTCGGAGGAGCACAGCAGGTCGCCGAAGCAACACTGGTCGGCGAACGCGCCGACGACACGCCGAGTTCACGATGAACTCGCACTCTGAGGCCCCCGACGGAGCCACTCCCTGAACTCATGGAGCCGTCGAAGAAGCCAGAGTCAATGGCATCCCACACCGCTGCAACCTCAGCCTCGGACTTGATGGAGATGTCAGGCCCCACATAGTTATTCTTCTTGGGCTTCCTGTTCTTCCCGCGCTTCCCCGTCTGCTGCCAGATGACGCGCTCGGAACGCAGAGCAGCTCCAGCAACAGAGACAGCAGGAGAACCAGCAAGATGAGAGAGAACTCACAGCGAGGAGAGAGAACCAGCGTCATCATCACCATCCTCAGCGTCATGGGCCTGAGCACAGTCCATCTTATAGCCATCTTCGGGGGTGCTGTCCGTGGTCTGCTCAGCGTCCTTCTCGGCGTAATTGAAGTAATTGGCACCTGATGGCGCCACAGCCACAGGATCCGCCTGCATCTTGTGGCTCTGCTGGTTCTCCGCCTGGAGGTGGGTGTCAGCGCCGTCGCCGAAGCAGCCCTCCAAGTCGAAGCAAGCCGATCCTTTCCCAGTAGACTCCGTCTCGCCCTTGCTCGCGCCGCCAGAGCCACCGATGAAACACTTGGCAGCCATCGAGTTGTCGCAGCTGTCCACCGCTGCCGCAGACCCGCCCCTTGGCATCGCTCGGACGTGTGCATTTTTCCTTCGGCGAGGACCATCGAGGAGCATCCTTGATCATTTGGCGAAAAAGCCACGCACGAAACCGAACAAAGCACAGGGAATGGACGTCCGAGCGATGGCGAGGCCCAGGCTGCCGCCCGGGGCGCCGCCTTCGACTCCTTCTGGTTCGGGTTCAGCTCCGTGGCTGCCCCGGCGGCCGCCGAGCTCACTCGCCTCCGCCGACTCTCCTGCGCCTCGGGCGGCGTCAGCCCCCCTGGGAGGCTCGGGGGCTCCCATGACGTGCGGCAGCTGCCGCGCGCGCCCGTCCAGGACCCGGTTGACCTCCTTTTCAGCTTCGCCTTCTGCACCTCGAACAGCTGCCTCGCCGCTCGACGGCTCTCCGCAGTGGCTGGCTGCTTTGCCGTCTCCTTGGCGATGGGCCTTGCTTTCGCACGAGTCGGCCCGTAGCTAAGGCCGAGCTGCTCGAGAGACGTCGCGGTCGACATCGGCCTCCCTGCAGACCGCGTCGTCGTCCCAGGCACCAGCCTTCCGCAGGAACTGGCTGATGTGAAAGCCGACCTCCCCGACGATCAGCTCGGAGAGGTGGAAGGAGAAGCGGGGCGGCATCCCCGCGCCATGGCTCGGGCGCGCGGCGCCCACCTCAGGATTGCGCGCACCCAACCCTCACGCGACTGAGGGGAGATGGGCTTGGAGGAGGAGGAGAATGAGGAGGAGGAGAAGGATCAGGAGCAGGATCAGGAGCAGGAACATAAGCAGACTGATGATGATGATGATGATGATGATGATGATGATGATGATGATGATGATGATGATGAGGAGATGATGGATTGTGCTGCTGTGCTGATGCTGATGCTGATGCTTGATGCTGATGATGCTGATGCTGATGATGATGATGCTGATGGTGGTGATGATGATGGTGATGATGATGATGATGAGGAGGCGGAGGAGGAGGAGCCAGGAGGATGAGGAGGAGGAGGGAGCAGGGCAAGGAGGAGGAGCATGAGCAGGAGGCATGACCAGAACATAACTGAGGAGGCGAGGAGGAGGAGGAGGAGGAGGAGGCGGAAGGATGGAAAGGAGGAGTAAGGAGGAAGGAGGAGGAGAAAGGGCGGAGGCGGACAGGCGGAGGAGGGGAGGCGGAGGCGGACCAGGAGGGGGCGGAGGGGGGAAGTAGAAGGAAGGAGGCGGAGGAAGGAGGAGGAGGCGGAGGTAGGAGGAGGAGGAGAGGCGGAAGCGGGGGAGGAGGTGGAGGGGGAGGAGGAGGAGGAGGAGGAGGAGGAGGAGAAGGCGGAGGAGGAGAAGGAGGAGGAGGAGGAGGTGGAGGAGGAGGAGGATTCGAACTATCACACGGGTCGTCGGAGATCTGGGGGGAGGCGCCAGCTGGCCTCCCGCGGCCGCGGGCGGCGGGTGGCGTTGGGCAGCAGTGCAGAGAGGGCGGCGGCCAGAGGAGCGACGTGAGAACACGGGGTCGACTGCGCTGGCACCCCTGGAACGGTCTCGGCGAGGCGCAGCCGCCGGAAGGCGCCCCGAGGCTGAAGATCCGTCGAGAGCCATTGACCGTGCGCCCAATGGGGTAGGTAGGGGGAGGTGTAAAGGCTTTAGAAGGACCCCTGCTTCCTAGAAGGCGCGGGCCTTGTCTACAGACGTGGGGCCGGCGCCTTCCAAGAAGCAGCCTCCTTCTTGGAAGCCTTCCCCCTCCCCCTACAGTTCTAGAAGGTCGAGGTCAGTTCGGGGAGGGTGCCCTCATGGTTTTCGTGTCTGTTGGGTGCTCTTGTGCACCGTGGGGGAGGGCGCCCTCGGATGCTCTGCGGTTTTGGCCGGCCGCGGGTCTCGTGGTCTGGAAGGATGTTCTTCTGCCCTAGGTCCGACTGCGAGCTGCCAGCGTAGGGTCGCGCGTGGGCGCTCTCGTCCCCACTGCAGCCTGCAGCGCCGGGGGCCCGGGTGAGCTGCGGCGTAAGATCGCTGTGTCTCGACTTCACGTAAGAGTGACCCTTCACCAGAGTGACCCGTGGTGCGGGCTCATCGGGGCCCCCCAGATCGCTGAGCGCGATGCGATAGTGGCTGCTTGCGCGCCTGGATTTGGCCACCCTTCGCCCTCTCAACCCGCGCACTAGAGGTCCCTCTTGCCTAGGGTCACTCTCGCGTGTAGCCGAATGTCAGCCGGACGGGGCTAGGACGAGGATAAGTCCGTTCCAGAGCGTTCGAGCGTTCCGGAACGCTCTTGGGAGGCCGCGGCGCCCGAGACACATTCTCCAGAGCCGCCAGATCTCAGAGATTTTCGACTCATCCTCGCCCGATTTCATCCTCGCCCTGGCCTCGTCTTGCTGTGCCCTCTCGCGTGCGACCCGCCTCTGCTCGCCGCTCCGTCGGCTGCCAGCCGCCCCCCGGCGCGCCCAGGAGCGCCTCGGAGGGCCGCGGGAGGCCACGGAGGGCCAGGACCGCGGCGCGGTGCAGCGCCGGGGCTCAGAGCCGCCACCCGGCGCCGCGGTGATGACCCTTGGCGGCCGGCCCGGGGGGGGAGGTTCGTTTCGGGAGTTTCGGCTTCGAGGTTCGAGGTGTTCGGGCGTCGTCGCCGGCGCTCGGCGGTTCTGTCCAGCCTCGGGGTGCGCTCCAGCAGCTGTGCCTCGTCGGGGGCGTTCCAGGGGTGCCGGATCGTCCCGAGCGGCCGCCGCCAGAGGCGTGAGTTCTGGCCCAGAAGCCGCCCGCAGAGGGGGCGGGCCTTCTAGAATGCTCGGAAGTTCCCCGGCGGCCTGAGAAGTTGTCCAAGCCTCCCCCGAGGGCACAGAAGAACTCGCAGCAGGCCAGATGGCTCTTGAGAGAAGCCCCGCCGCCTTCTGAGAGGGTCTGTCTCCTCCCTCTGCTTGCTTCCCCCCCGTCGCCCGCCGCCGAGACGACGATCGGAGGAGGGCCAGTGCGTCCCAAGTCCCAGACCCCCGACGTCGTGATTTTTCCGCAGCGTCGACCCCCAGAGGTCTGGACCCCTTACCCGGGACCAGTGTTTCACCCCTCGCCATTTTTGGACGGCCCCAGGGCCCGGGAAGGGCTCCTGGAGGCCGAGACTAGCGAAACACCTCCCGTCGTGGCCAGCTTCTGGAGGGGAAGAAACACACACAAACGCAAGTCATCCTCGACTCCCCAGAAAATATGGGAACATACGAGAAGTGGGGGGGGAGGACAGAAACCCCGAAAATATAGGAAAATCTGGGGGATCTTTTTTATTTGCGTGTATCTATTTGCGTGTCCCAGTTCCCGTTTCCTAGCTTCACGGCGCGAGGAGGCTCTGGGGTCTCCGACGGCGCGACGCTTTTTTTCGATGCCGGCCGTGGTGCCTCGAGGTCTTGCCCCGGGGGCCTGCTCGTCGGGGTTGAAGGGGCCCAAGGACACACAAATAGATACACACAAATAAAATGGTTCCCAATATTTTCTTATATTTTCTGGGTTTTTGTCTTCCGTCCCCTGACCTTAAAAAAACGGAGCGAAACAGCCTGAAACCAAGACGTAGAATAGCCTTGGGATAGGTTCTTAAGTCGCGTACTATTTTTTAAGCCCTCTTGGAAGGTCAGGGTCGGGGTAGGGGGCCATCAGACATGGGCCCAGGATGAGAACCTGGGGGCGGCCGCCCTTTGGCCTGGTGGTCCGGTCTCCAGGGGCCCGCCTCGGTCCCCTCCTCCTCCTCCTCCTCCTCCTCCTCCTCCTCCTCCTCCTCCTCCTCCATTCCTTCTCCTTATAAATAATTTTTCCCTGTCGCACCCCGAGGCCAGTTTTTAGGGCGGGCCCTGCGTTTCGCCTGAGACTTCCTCACCACTTATGACCCTGACGCTTACATATTGGCAACAGTTTCACAGATGGAGGACGGGTGGTTTTCAAAATGTTGCTCTCGCATTGGCGCCGCGCACACTCGCTTTCAAATTTGAAAGAGCTTCACGGATGGGGGGCGGGTCGTTTTCAACATGTGGCTCTCGCTTTAGCGCCGCGCACATTCGTTTTCAAAAGTTGAAAGAGTTTCACGGATTAAGGGCGGATCGTTTTAAAAATGTGGCTCTCGCCTTAGCGCCGCGCGCATTCGTTTTCAACATGTGCAAGAGCTTCACGGATTAAGGGCGGCTCCTTTTGAACACGAGGCTCTCGCCTTAGCGCAGCGCACATTCTTATTAAACGCTTGCAAGAGTTTGACGGATTCCCATGATCGACGTACCAGAAATTGTGTTTTGGAAGGGTTCACGATCTTGAAGGCGCAAGAGTTACGATCATTCGCGGAGTTGAGGTCCCAGGAATGGCGCTCGGGCACGATCCAGGATTGTCCAGACGCAACAGTCAGGTTTATCCGTGTCGTTGGAATACCGAGAATAATGATTTGGCATGCTTCAGGGTCTTCAAACGGTTGTCTTCCAACGAGGCAAATCTCTCTGTGGAAATGAACCGTTGTAGGGGCCTATGAAGAGGGAGTTTGGGGGAAGGGTGTCTTCCAACATCGTTGGTGATTCTTGGGTTTACACTGGTCCTCCTCCTCCTCCTCCTCTTCCTCCTCCTCCTCCTCCTCCTCCTCCTCCTCTTCCTCCTCCTCCTCCTCCGCCTCCCCCTCCTTCTCCTCCTCCTCCTCCTCCTCTTCCTCCTCCTCCTCCTCCTCTTCCTCCTCCTCCTCCTGCTCCTCCTGCTCCTCCTGCTCCTCCTCTTTTTCGTCCTCCTCCTCCTCCTCCTCCTCCTCCTTCTCCCCCCCTACACCTCCTCCTGCTCCTCCTGCTCCTCCTGCTCCTCCTCCTCCTCTTCGTCGTCGTCGTCGTCGTCCTCCTCCTCCTCCTCCTCCTCCTCCTCTTCCCCAGGACATTCAACAACGGAGGCGTTTCAGGAAGGGCCTTGCCTTGGAGGACCGAAGGCGTTGGCACCTCTTCCTCGGCGGAAGGCGGCGGAAGGGCGCGGCGGCGGCTCCCTCCTCGAGCTGGGTCGCAGTGCCCGGCTCGACCGCGC